TATTTTTGAACCATTATATTTCTCTACATTTACACTTACTAGAGAAGAATAAAGCAGAATGTGGGATCTAGATACTACCACTCTTACACGATGGTGCAAAGATTTTGACGTCTACAAACAAAAGTGTTTTTTTAGAGTAGACATTTTTTGGCGCTGAATCCAAATCCGTCCGTCCCTTTGTCGAACTTGTGTCGAGACATTGTGACTATGGTTAACAGATAAAAAGAAGGCTTTGTGTCTTGAGAATAACGATGGTCTAAAGAGAACCATCAAAAACCATGTGAATGATAGTTACTTTAATCTGACTAATATATGTGACTACTAAGTGAACAAGAAATATATTGTTTATCCTAACTTACTGTCTGCTATTAGACCAGTAGCTCATAGCGAAACTATATCTGCTCTAAAAGATGTTTGTGATGACTGTGACTGTAAAAGTAGTGATAATTAGAACAATGGATATTAATTCATCATCATCACGTAGCGCTACAACCCTGGGTGGAACTTGGCTGACTGTACAACTTTTTTTCAATTTGTTCGGTCTTCCATCAACTTGGGTCAAATGGAATGTTCATTGTCCGGAGATCTGCAAGTATTTTTCGTTCAAAGCGTCTGAGATTTTCTTCGTTGGCTTTGGTCATGGTCCACGTTTCGAATCTGTATGTTATTACAGGTCTGACAATGGATTTATAGATTTTGATCTTTGAACTTCTTGTGAGATTTTTTTATTTTATGAGCTAATGGATACTAATTACTACTCTTTTATTTATTATTACTAATTTTGACTGATTTTTAAAATTTAAATAAATTTCTCGTAATTATGTTTCAAATACATAAAAAACATCAAGTTGGTAAAAATATTTTTTTTAATAAGTACATAGAAATTTTTAAAATTTATCTAATAACATATATACACTACTGTGTGTAAACGCTCAGACTGAGTTACATATCTCTCTTTAACTCACGGCTTCGATTAATCTAATATTCTTTTCTACTGGTCGGCTTTGGCAAGTTCAAAATTTCAGATCAGTAGGATCAGTATTACAGAATAATAGAGACACAATTGGGAGAGAACAATAAAAAAGTCCAGGAGACTTCTGTGAAAGGAATTGTTATTGTTATGTCCCAAGAATGAAACTTACTAAGAAATATAGCCGTCTTCACATAGACACAAAAGGAATGAAAATGGAAATAGAAAAACAATAATATTATAACATTTATTCTATAATATATATGTTCTAAATAAATCTGTTACATATAATCTAAGAATATAAACACAACCTCTACGTATGCAAATTTAAACAATCTTTTACAATTTTTCAAGATATGAATTCTTTTTTAAGTATTAATTCCTTACTTCTGTTGAAGTATCAATAGGTTAATTGAAGAATTTTAGTCAGTCGACGGCTTTGTATACTCATATTAATCGCAATATGGTTGGAATCGATCTTAAAAATATAGGAGAAAGAAGAAAACAACAGCTAAATTAACAAATTTTTCTTCTACGTATCTAGCACAAAATCCAAACATGCATCCAAGCTGGAACTTAGATGTTATAGTATCATTAAGGTCAACTGTCAAATCTAAACCATTAAGTGTTGGAAAATATCGAACTTAGTAGTGAAGTTCGTTTCGGTTAGTAAATGCCTCTTTGTCCGCTTCTCGTCGATCTTTGATGATAGGGTTAATAAATGTTGAAGTTGTGGAGTAAAAGTGATGATTTATTGACAGCAACTCGTAATTACACAATAATAATATGGTGTTCGTTCGGTAACTACTCAATATTGACTGTGTTCATTTGAACTCAAATCCCCAATTTATAATCTCACACATAATAGATGCATAAGCACCTTAGGTCATTGCTTCGTTCATATCAAACCACCTAACTTTTGCTTATAATACAATTTTATCTACGCCTTAATTGCGACACTTAGGAAGTTCAATTAGAAAATATTATTATTCGGCAATTTATTTAGTTGTAGGTAAATGAACTAATTATTAATTATCATACGATATGGTTTTGCAATATATATAATGCAAACTTATACACAGTGAAACTATATTATATTATAATTATCATACGATATGGTTTGCGATATATATAATGCAAACTTATACACAGTGAAACTATAAAAGATTAAGAAGTTAAGAATAATGTGAGATTACAAATTAAGGGGTTAATTTGTGATTGAACAAGTGTCATCTGTCGTATGTCAAAGATGTGTCATCACAAATGGAAGTAGAGACTGCAGAATGTAACAAAACAGAAACATAGACTTGGCGTTAAGTCATAAAACCTAGAATTAGATAAATTACGTGACACAAAAAAATTTTAACATATATTTTATTAAAAAATAATTATCTATTGTTACTTTTAAATCATAAAAGAGATGAAATAAAACGACATAAACATTTACTAGAAAGCAATAGATGGGAAGAAATAAAACGTTTTTTACATTTTGCAAACAATACTGATGGTATTGATGTCGAAAATCCTGGTCATGATAAACTTTTTAAAATCTGACCGCTACTAAATAAACTAAGGAATCAGTTTCTCAAAGTACCGAAAGAGGAATTTTTAGCCATCGATGAGTGGATAATTCCAACAAAGCCGCGTTCATCGATAAACAATATAGTGGTGTCAGCTTATTTTTCTACGATTATGAAATTTTTGTAGAAAACCAAAATAATGTTGTACCAGATGGTTATTCTGATTTAGGTGAGTTCAAATGTGGTTTTTCGGCTAACACAAACAGTACCAAGACTTATAAATCACTAAATATTCTTTGATAATTGGTTCAACAGCGTCCTATTGCAAATTTGTCTAACGAAATAGAGTACGTTACCACTAGGAACAGTTAGAATAAACAGAGTGCCAGACTGTAGTATGCCAACAGAGGCTGGATTAAAAAGGAACGGTCGAAAAGCTATGGTAGAGAAAATCGACACAATTGATGGTACAAAAATATCTGTTGTTACATGGTGTGACAACAAATTAGTAAACATTTTATTAACATATGCTGGGAGTATGCCAACAGTTGAAGTTAAACGGTTTTCGAAAAAGAATAAGACACATATGGTTCCATGTCCAAAAGCTGTAATGATCTACAACAATATATGGAAGGGGTAGATCTTCTGTATGGGGGGTAAAGGGGTAGAATACGAAAACATGGAGTTGCTTTCAGTCTACTCCACTTAGCCTCTTCTACTCAAATCCGATTCTCATCTTCACGCTGGTGCCCCCTGTTAAACCGAGCAACCCAACTGATGATCCGGTATTCAAGCCGGGTGGAAATTTGGGTCGGAAACTGTTACGAGAATTTAAGGTAAAGTTTCCGGAATAAAATCTAGACGACAACTCGGCGAGAAAAAGAACAATGATTTAGGATTATTCTCGTGGAATCTAAGATCTGTATAGAGGCCAGGAGTCTTGCAGTCTTTTATTAACAGTGTAGAAGTATATAAGAGCGATATAATTGCACTTCAGGAAATGAGATGGTTAGGAAATAAAATATTAGAGAAAAAGAATTATTCGATATATTATAGCTGGAGCCATCCAACGGAACACAAATTAGGAACGGGATTATTAGTCAATAAAAGAGTAAAGCACCTTATAATAGACTTCCAACCTCTCAACCAAAGATTATGCTAACTAGAGAATCAGAGGTAAATTCTTTAAATATTCAAGAATAAATGCCCATGCACCAACTGAGAAGAAGCCGGATGAAGAAAAAAGAACAATTTTATGAATAACTGGAAAATGTCATACAACATTGCCCTAGAATGACGTAAAGGTCTTAATAGGAGATTTTAATGCAAAGATTGGTAAGGAGAGGGAATACATGCCAACCATTGGAATTCACAGTTTACATGAAGAATCAAACAACAACGGAACTCGACTAATACACTTAGCCTCCTCAATGAACATGGTGATTGCCAGCACATGCCTTAGGCACAAAGATATACATAAGGGAACATGGAGAAGTCCAGATGGGAATACAGTAAACCAAATCGACCATGTCGGGGTTGACGCAAGACACTTCAACGACGTGATAGACATAAGTGCAAGACGCGGGGCGACCATAGACTCGGACCATTACCTACTACAAGCTAAACTAAGAGCTAGAATCTCCAATGCAAATAAAAAAAAGGAGTGAAAGAGGAAAGGTTTAAAGTAGAAGCGTTAAAGAACTCTGAGATAGCTAAGAGATTCGAGAAAAGTCTGAAAGCAAGTTATAAGGTTGCACGGATGTTATAGTTGAAGATATTAACAACTATTGAAGGCAGTGTAGAGCCATATTGGAAGAAGTCGCAATTTGAAGAATAATAGAGAATGGAGACTTATCCTTGAGCAGGCCAAGACTCATTATGGGTTGCGGAGCCAATGATGATGAGATCTCCTGGATTCAATGTTGGGAATTAGCACTGGCAGATTTCAAAATGGCAGTACCAGAGTGTTTATGCAAAGTTAATAAAGCTGTTTTTACTACAAAAAGGGGTCGCCCGTGTGGAGCTATAGAAAATTTACGAAACAAGAAAAGAAGGGGTCCAGCAAGCCGATCTTCCAATGCAAGATATATGAACAGATGGATATGGTCATCTTCATTATGTTGTAGTAAAGGCAAAGATGCAAATATCCCTGTAGTTCAAGAAGCTTCATAAATGCGAGAAGTGTAATATTTTTCTTTGCTTAAACACAGATAGAAATTGTTTTTACAACTTTCACACTGAATAATTATTATAATTAGAAAGTAATAATCGTCATTTTTTATTAATTTTACTTAAATCTTGTTTTAATACATAGCATGTCATACATGACACACAAAAAAAAAAAAATACAAAAACTGACCAAGTAGGATTTTTTTTATATTTGTAGTGTAATCTCGAAGTCAAGTTTGTAATCATAGATTTTTTTTTTAAATAAAAACGTTTTGACCTGCGTATATAATACTATTTCACAATCGATTCCAACCACATTTCCTAGCGCCATCTATGAATGCTTAAATATAACACGGAGGTAAAGCGCAACTGGCAGTAGCACTCCGAGCAGGAACCGGCTGATCGTTTTGGATGCCCTCTAGGGCTTGTTTCTGTTTGCGCCTGTTCAGTTCGACGTTCGCTTCTTGGATCGCTTCCCACAGCTTCGCCTCAGACATGATCTGCCGGGAGAGGTCCTCGACTGCGGGCTCGGCGCTCAATTCCAGGAGACTGTTGATGGATTCGTCCATCTCCTCGCCCTGAGAGGTCAGCGCCGGCAGGTTGGAACGTTTGCGGCCACAACCTTGAAAAAATTGAGTTAAAAGTCACAATTTGTCTATATTGAGATATTTTTATTTTCCATTCCACAAGTTTAAATTATTTTTTTGTTTTCACGGTCATAAAAACGAAAATACAAAGCCAAGAAAATATTTAAATCGCTTATTTGAGAAACCTCATAAGTCATAAAACTTTCGTAAAACAAGAAAAAACTGTGTGAGGAAAACACGAAGATTTTTACATGTTTAAAACTGACCTAATTTCATTACTTTGCTATTTGATAAAGAGTATCTACGATTTTGCTCATACTCTGCAACTTTTGCTCAACTCTGTCTACTGCACTTCCTTCGAATACTACGAGGATACCTTCTGCTTGATAACAGCAGAAATGCTTGAAGCCACAGAAGAAACCGGCGTAAAGTTACTTCATATACTCTGTAACCAAATATGGCATTCCAAACAATGGCCTGAAGACTGGACAAAATCTACAATAACGACCATACATAAAAAAGGCAGCTTCCAAATGCGACAATTATAGAACTATCTCTCTTATATCCCATGCCAGCAAGATAATGCCTACATATAATCAATGAGAGACTGAAAACATTCCTTCAAAGAGAAATTCCACAAGAGCAAACTGGATTTACCAAAGGTAGAGGCACTCGAGAACACCTGCTGAATATAAGACAGATAATCGAGAAATCTAGGGAATTCAACATCCCACTATACATCTGTTTTATAGATTACCGTAAAGCGTTCGACAGGGTCAAGTGGAGACACTTATGGCAATACTAAAAGAAGTAGGCGTACCACAACATCTAATTACGCTTATAACTGAACTATATGAACACACTACTGGATCAGTTAAGTACTTGACACACTTTCGAACGAGTTTCATCCAGAACGGGGTGTCAGACAAGGATGTATACTATCTCACAATTATTCAACATATATGGAGAGTATATTATGCGAAGAGACACTTGAAGGATGGGAAAAGATGGCATCTTAATAAATGGTCATAAACTAAACAACCTACGTTTCGCAGATGACACAGCCCTTCTTGCAAATAGTAGTCAAGCAGAGCTGATGGAACTTATACGACTGGTCGAAAACGAAAGTCAAATATTTGGTCTGCAATTAAACATATCAAAGACAAAGATCATGATAGTGGATAGACTACACAACAATCATCCACACATAACCACAATTGACCGGTTCGAGGTTGTGAGCTCATACTTATATCTGGGATCATTAATCACAAACACAGGGTCATTACAAGAGGAGATTAAACGTAGATGTGATCTAGCAAAAGTTACCACAGCAAAAATGACCAAAATATGGAAGGAATGTCAAATTTCAAGAGCGATAAAAAAGAGGTTGATCAACTGCTTAATATTCCCAATACTGACCTACGGATGTGAATCTTGGACTCTGAGACAATCGGAGAGAAAAACATAGACGCCACTGAAATGTTCTGTTGGAGACGAATGTTACGAATTCCTTGGACCGACCGTAGAACAAATAATTCAATTTTAGAGAGCTAAAAGTTAGCCAACGACTCTCTAGTAAAGTCCATCTCCAACAATTAAAATATTTTGGGCATGTTATGAGAGCAAACACAGAAAACATGGAAAGACTCATAATACAAGGAAAGGTAGAAGGCCGAAGATCACAAGGAAGATCCCCAACAAGATGGATAGATCAAATTACAGGAATATGCCAAAGACCTATGCATGAATTAAAAGAAATAACCAGAGACAGAGATCTCTGGAGACGGACAATAGACTTCTACAATAGAATTTGGTAATGTGGAAGAAAAATGTTAAAAAATGTTCAACTACCAACTGAGTTTTGAGGTTATGTGTAAATACATGAGTAAAAAAAACGATTTTTTAGACATTTCGATGATTCCCGCTCAGAAATTGAAAATTCTGTTCTAACCATGCAAAACAACGAAAAACGAAATACATAAAAATTACTATTTAAAAGTAAGCCAAAAATATTAACATAACCTAAGAAATTATGTAAAATTTCAATGATTTTTCCTAGGCTCAATTTTCAATATGAAAATTTGAAATAACCAGACTATTTTGTATTCAAAAGATACCCCTTCATGAATTGTTTCAGATTTTTTAAAGTAAAATTGCCTCCAGAAAAAAATAAAGTTGAAAAAAGCTTCTTTTTAGATTTAAGAGGTTCTGTGGTCTCTGGGAAGCTAAATTTCTATGAAGTCATGTTTTTATACGCTTTATCGAAAGCACATATCTTATCCTGCTATAGCCTTTATTTTATCCAAAATTGGATCACATGCAATGATTTTCCGAGGAACTACTCATTATACATTAGATTCCAAAAAGTAAAATGGTAAATGTGAGGAACAAAAATTGATATTTCAAATCAAATTTTAACCAAGTCTGTCTTATTGAAAACTTACTTTACCCGTAAAGGCATTGCAAAACGGTCTTTTGTGGGGTTCGATGAAAACTCTCTCCCTAGTGAGATAAGGATAGTCACCCTAAAAATAAGTTTTTGTGTTATGTACATATACTAATACTTTTTAATTTCAAAATTCACGAGTATAGGTCAATATAAATTTACAATGTTTTTTTCAATCACCAAGGACAATAGATCACATGCATGTAGGTGGCGCTGGCGTCAGAATTTGGTATTAAAACACAACCTTATTTTATTCTGCCATTTATTTACATTGTTTGGTACTCGTTTCTTAGTGGTTTTGCAATATTGTGAGTGATTTAAGCTTTAATAAGTTATTTAGGGCATTTTAATTGTTTGGACACTTTTAATAAAACTTTAGAGTATGCCTTACAATTGTTCTGTATGTCACAATGCAATTCAGTTCCCAATAAAACTGACAATGTTAAGATTCATAAATTCCCTTTAATAAAGCTTTACAAAAACTATGATTGATAGCTATCAGGTCTGAAAAAGGTATCAGCAAGATCACAAAAATTTGTTCCAGACACTTTTCAGGCAATATTAAATTCAAAAAACAATAAGGCACCTGGACCAGATGAAATCCCGTCAGAAATACTCAAATTACTAGATGAAAGGGGAATTTCAGCACTACACAAAATATTTAATTTAATTTATGAAACTGGCTGCTTTCCTCAACAGTGGCTACGCTCTACCTTTATTCCCCTGCCCAAGAAAGTCAATGCAAAAAGATGTGAGGATCACAGACTCATTAGCCTGATGAGTCACACTTTAAAGATATTCTTAAAAATACTACATCAAAGATTATACAAAAAATGTGAATGGGACATCAGTGATTCCCAGTTCGGGTTTAGGTAAGGTTTAGGAACACGAGAAGCAATAGTAGCAACACAGGTGCTGGCCCAAAATTGTTACGATCAGAGGAAGGATGTGTTCCTATGCTTTTTAGATTACCAAAAAGCGTTTGATCGTGTCCAACACCACAAGTTAATGCAGATTCTCAAGAAAGTTGATATAGACCAAAAATACATAAGATGCATTGAAAACTTGTACTGGCATCAAACGGCACAGTTAAAAATAAACAAGTCTATATCCAAACCCATACATATAAAAAGAGGCGTTCGACAGCGATGTGTGCTTTCCCCTCTTTTATTTAACATTTATTCGGAAGCCATATTTCAAGAGTCTTTGAAGGATGCAGAGATGGGAATCAAGGTGAATGGAGTATTGATCAACAACATACGATATGCTGATGATGCTGTCTTAATTTGCGACAACATAGTTGATCTTCAACAACTTGTCACTATAATCGGAGAATAAAGTAAGCAGTATACTTAAACAAGATTTAATTTGTGTTATTTTATTGGTTATCTATGAGATAGAAAATAAAAAAAAAATATTTATTTATTGGCAAAGCAAAGCAGTTACATATACATATATTTGGAATAAAATTCATCTGTATTGAAGTGCATATGGGAATCTAAGGAATATAATGGTTATGATTTAATACCAAACCTCGACGTAAGCGCCCCTTACGGATATTTTTCAACTGACTGATGACATATGTGATCTATTAATTGTCCCCAAGTTTACTATTTGAAGGTCATCCTTTTTCTGGTCTTTCATCTCTACTAGTTTTGTATTGGTCAATGACACATATGCCTCCGAGTCATATATACATAAAACCCATATAAACTAGATTTTTATTAATGGAGGTATTAATAGTGGTGTTCTGTTTTTCTTTACATATTTATAAAAGGCATATATAGGGTATAAAGACATGCATAGGGGCCCCTTCACGGCTCTACGGGAACTATACTTCAACAGTACATTAATTTAAGACATAAACTTACCTTCTTTGGAAGAAAAATGCCTTCTGTTTCAGCAAACAGCATACAAATAATAATGTGGCCCAATGCAACGAGAATTCTTGGAGAAAATATTGTCATAATTACTAAAAATTAAAAAAAAATATGTATTATTAAGCGCATTTGAGAAAAACGTTAAAGAATAAAGGAAATACTTATTCTAAAACTGCTATTAAGCAATGCATTGAATGACTTAAGGGCACTTTGTATTGTTTGTTTATTAGTAGTAGTAGGTAACTTTTTAACAACAATCAAAATGAAAAATATTTATACGTTAGTAATGTGAAGATAAACGTAACATAAAAAAACATGAAGTCAACATAATAATGGGCGACTTAACGCCAAAGTCGGTAAAGGGAAAGTAGAAGATATCGTAGGGAATTATGGTCTAGGAATTAGAAATGAAAGAGGAGACCAATTAGTACAATATTGTCAAGACAAAGAATTAGTCATCACAAACACCTTTATTCAATTACCACCAAGAAGACTATACTTGGAGTGCACCAGGAGACAACAATAATAATCTGATAAGAAACCAAATCGATTGCATTCTTGTCAACAAAAGATTTAGAAATGGAATTAAAAGCGTTAAAACATATCCTAGTGCTGATGCAGACTCTGATCACAATCTACTTCTTGCCAACGGTAATATTAAACTAAGAAAACAACAGAAAAAAAAATAAAATTCAGAGACTAGATTTGTCAAAGCTTGAGGATGAAAAATGCCAACAACAAATAAATTAATCAGTTGCACCAGCTTTCGCAGAGGCGTCAAAAAAAGATATTAATAGTGCCTGGAACGAAATGAAATCGGCAGTACTTAACGCTGGTAAAACGTTTGTGGGTAAAAAAGAACCAATTGCCAAAAAAAAAAGACTGGATGACACCAGATATTATAAACCTCATAGAAGAAAAATGAAAATACAAAAATATAAATACAGAGAAGTACAAGCAAATGAAGAAACTAGTAGAAACGCAGATCAAGGAAGCTAAAGAATACCACAAGTTATACGAAACTCCAAGGGGGATCTCCATTTATCAGCATTAGAAAAACAACAAACTTGGGAGAAATACATCAAGGACTTATTCGCAGATAATAGGGAAGAAATAAATGATACATTACCAATTAATGAAAATCTAAAAATTCTGATATCAGAAGTTAAACAGGCAATTAAAATCTCAAAAAGTCGTAAAGCGCCAGGTCCCGATGAAATTCCTGTAGAGATATTAAAAATCCTGAATGATGAAAATATAGAGTGTCTAACTAAATTATTTAATAAAATATACCACGATGGTCAAATCCCGGATAAATGGGATTGGGAATGGGAACACACTTTAAAAATACTACTCAAAGTTATTCACCAGCGTATATATAAAAAATGTGAAGAACAATTAGACAATAAACAGTTTAGATTTAGATGTGGAATGGGAACAAGAGAGGCACTGTGCGCAATGACGGTACTATTACAAATATGCAGGGAATATAATAAAAACGTATTTATGTGTTATATAGATTTCCAAAAAGCTTTTGATAGAGTCCAACATGGTAAACTCATACATGCATTGAAACACATACACCTAGATCCCAAGGATATTAATTTAATCAAAAATCTGTACTACAATCAAACAGCGGTCGTACGGGTGACATATAGTGAGACAAACCAGGTGGAAATTCAAAGAGGAGTCAGACAGGGATGAGTGCTGTCGCCACAATTATTTAATGTGTACTCCCAACTAATATTTCAGGAGGCACTATGGGAAAGAACTGAAGGTGTAAGGATTGGAGGGAGCATCATTAATAACATAAGATTTGCAGACGATACCGCAATTATGACAGAGAATATAAACGATTTACAAACTCTCCTGGAAATCATTAACAAAGATAGCAAAAAGATATGACTAACAATGAATATAAATAAAACCAAATACATGGTGATCTCAAAAAACCCTGTTGACAACATACAACTGACATTGGAGGGTAAACCCCTAGAGAGAGTCGACAAATATAAATATCTCGGAGCAATTATAAACTCATAGTTAGATCAAGAGCAGGACATAAAGGTCAGAATAGAAATAGCTCGAAAAGGCTTTATAAAATACAAGTCAATGTTTACAAATAAGAAATTGAGTATGGCCATCAAATTGAGGTTCGTCGAATGTTATGTTTGGTCGCAACTGCTATATGGGGTAGAAGCTTGGACTCTGAAAGCCCAATCTATAAAAAAATTGGAGGCATTCGAAATGTGGCTATATAGGCGTATTTTGAAGATTCCTTGGACTGCAAAAGTCTCAAATGACGAAGTGTTAAGACGAGTTGGACATGGCAGAAAGCTTATGAACACAATTGAAATAAGAAAAACATCGTATCTGGGCCACACACTCCGAAACGATAAATACTCTCTGCTACAAGTCATCATGCAAGGTAGAGTAGAAGGAAGAAAAGGCTTGGGAAGAAAGAAGAAATCTTGGCTGAGGAATATCAGAGATTGAACTAACCTAAGTGTTTAACAGATATTTCACGTTGCAAAAGATCGAGAAGCGTTTAAAGAAGTGATCGCCAACCTTCGTTAGAAGACGGCACAAGAAGAAGAATGTGAAGATGGATGTGAAAGATGGGTAATGACACAAAGTAGTAATCCAGAAGCCAAGTTAACCAAATGAGCTTTCCCAGAAGAGTAAAGATACTATAAGTATTATGACAAGCCCTTGCTATACCCCTGTTAAAAAATACTACGTGACGATTCGATCAGTAGCTATTCTAAGGCACCCGAGAAAATTTTACCAGATCCTGGAAGCGTTCTAAACAGCAAGACAAAATTTATATAAGTATAAGGGCAATTGTTTCAAGTCATTCTAAAATACTCATTCACATGAGTGGAATAAGATAACCTGGTTCAATAAAAGAAAAAATAAAAGATGAATACATCTATTGGTCAGGAGAAACCGACCCAAAACATCAATATGGAACAGCTATATTAGTAACGGATAAAATTGCGCAGTCAGTCATATACTTCATCCCTCTAAATGATAGAGTACCAATGCTGAAACTAAGAACAACCCATAGAAACCTTCACAAATCTCGATTTGTTGTCCTTATTATTGTACATTTTGTGGATCCTTTGCTTTATTGTAGGAGTACCGTCTAGTCAGTGTTAATTGTCAAAAGACCAACTCTGTCTTCCTCGTTTGCTCATCGTTCTGGACTGGTCTTAACAATGGGCAAAGTCAGATCAATTTAATAATATTTAAGACCGCACTAATTGAAGTTAACCATTTTCTGCTAAACAAACTTTACATGAATTTTATAATAAAATTGAATGATAAACTTGTATTCTGGTAATATCTTGTTACATTATGTCTCTTGTACTGGTATTTTACAAAATGAACTGCTGTGAGTACACTCCTGCTTGAAGATGACCTCCTATCGGCACACGACAATGAAATGCTCTCCGTTCCCGTCGGCGCTGGAATGCGAGGGCTGTTAGGGAAGGGGGAAGGGACCACTTAGTTCTCTCTCCGGTGACATTGCTCTCTTCCCCCCTGCAGCTTCCTAATCGTTTTATAAGCTTTGATTGTGTTCGGCTTGACTCCCGTTTGGACTGGGTGGGGGAAGAGGTTTACTGTGGAGCACACAATTCCGGGAATCGTTTCTCTATAATATGTAGAAGGAGTATTTTGTTTTTCCTGGCTCGTGATAAATTAATATTATGAAGACTAGTAGAATATCTTAATCCTTTTATCTCTAATTTAAATTGGATTTTAAAATATGGCAGCAATAGTAATAATAATTATTTAAATTGATAAAATTCTATATATTTCTGGTACACCAACGACGTAAGTTTTTTTCTTCTTATAATTTATGATATTTTAGTAAAACTTTTCAATATTTTACTTACTTTAATAAACTAGTTAAATCCATTTCCGCTGAAGTATGATTCAGTAGTTCGGTTAAAGAACCGTTAATACTTTTAATCCATCAATAAGCAAACCAGGTAAATCTATTGTTAGTGCCTACTCATATAATAGGCTGAACTACAATATATTCAACCAACTTACATCTCTAAACGATTAATGGAATTCGCAGAAAATTTTTCGTTGTAGTAAAAGGCACGGTAAACTGCACGGGAGTTCTTCATAATCTTTTTGATTACTTACTTTGTTTAGAATATTTTTGCCTTTATTATTAGTAGAGTTAATTTGTATAAAATAAGGAAAATAAACTAAAAAAATGTAATTTTAAATATTATTGTTTATTTGGCTAATAATGAATGTATAAATATAATGGTTAACCTGGTGTACGTATATTGCGTAAATATCATTATAATAGTGTAATTACTGATTAATTAAATTTATAAATCACCACCATCATCACTAAATTTACTACCGCTATCATTATATAACTCTATAATAACTGGATTAATTTCGCTAATTTGATTTTCCTGGATCCACCACTCCTCTATTTAATTTTTCCCATTTATTTACAGTTTTGGCCCATATTTCTGAAGTTGCAGTTTTGAGAGCTTCTTGCCACATTTCCCTAACTGCATCGTCACTGTATCCACTGCATCCAACGTGATTATCATAATATGTTTTATGTATACCCCAGATGTGTTTGATGGGATTAAACTGGCAGTTTTTCATTACGTTTCGAAATTTTCTTTTTTATGCTCGGTACGTTCCACGACTGTTTTGGTTGTTTCTCCAAAAATCCCGAATGGTAAGGTGCATTATCTAAAACTATAACTGATGATTCACCCAGACTAAGTAACAGTTTTTAGTCAAGCCATTTAACAAACAAATCTGCATTCATGTTTTCATGGAAATCAGTAGATTTTTATTTTGAAGAAAAAATCAAATCTGCGTTTTCTATAAAGCCTTCTTTCCCTCCTACATAAAGAATAATGTGTCTTTTGCCTTCGCTATCTGTATGATTTATTAATTTTATGCTGTCGTCTTGCAAAATTCCTTTAATTTCACCCTTTGTAAATATTTATGTCTAATCTAACTATACGAATGTTGCATTTTTAGATTTAGGTCTAATATATTATCTCTAAAAGTAAATTCTTTTGTTAAAAAAACTA